AAAAAAAAAAAAAGGAAAGCGTCTCGTCTCTCCAGCGGCGGAGGCCCCCAAGCAGCCCGCAGCAGCGAAAAGAGCCGAGTGGAGCCGAAGATGACACAGGCCGGCTCGGATTGGTCGGCTCGCTGGCCGGAAAGGAGGCCACGCGCTCATTGGCTGACACGACCTAGAAAGTCTGAAGTCCCGCCCCGCCCCGCCTTCGCAGGAGCAGCGCGCGAGAGGGGAGCGGTTGTAGATCCCTGGTGGCTTCTCTCTGAAGCCGTGGGAGGCAGGGAAAGCGAGGTCTGCGAAGAACTGGGCGAGCTCTAGAAATGCTGCTGAGAATCAAGGGACAGAGCGTTCAGGGCATCTTTACTCAGCCAGGGTGGCAGGGCCTTCTTGAACAATGCCAGCAAATCAAGACCTGGCTGATGGTCTCTTCTTCCTGCCCCCAAGTACTCTACCACGAATTCGGGATGCTTAGAAAAATGGTTTGTGGTCCCCATTTGGGAGCTCAGGTCACCATCCCCTGAGCGAAAATTGTGTCATAGATATTATTGCCTTTTTTTTTTTTCAAATGAAGCTCTAGGACTTTGGACTCTAAACGTGACTCAAATCGTTAAGTTGTAAAGCTCAAACTGGAATCCAGTTCCCAGGCCACTCTGGCCACTTCGAAAGGGCAAAGGATTATATTGTTCATTAAGTACTGCTTCGTGAGTAACACAGCATCATTGCGTAATATGATACAGCCAGGCGCAGCCCCATAGGCCTGGAATCCCAGCTACTGGGGAGGCTGAGACAGGCAGATGGCACGTTGGCGCTAAGGGAGCTGGAACTGGCTTGAGATTTAGTAAAAGAAAATAACCTAGCATTCAGGAGTTCTTAAGTTTGGTCCATAATACAGGGGACTGGTGTGTTGGGGGTAATTATCTCCTCGAACAACATATCCCATCGCCTAAAAAAACTGATCTTCCAAGGACCCAGTACTAGAAAAGAGATGGAGTAAAACCTATCTCAATAAATGGAAGAGAGATGTCTAGAAAATGCATTGTCCTTCACTCCCAATCATCCCATATATGTTATCTACTCAAATAAGCGTTGTATTTGAGGTTTAGCAAATCCTCTATCACTGAGACATCTGAAGCTCTCTTATTATTTGAGACAGTCTCAGTAAATTGTTCAGGCTTGCGTTGAACTCACTCTGTAGCCAAGGCAGACTTTGAATTTGTAATCCTCCTGCCTCAACATCCTATGTAGCTGGAATCACAGGCCGGAGTGATTCACCAGGCCAGGCCAAGTTTCGATAAATAATGCCAACCCTTTTAAGCCACAAATGTAAATATGTGGATTATATATATTTTAATTAGATGTGGGTGAGAATGTTTAGATTTCTAACACTTAAGTAAATATTTTTCATTGACATTTGACTGGAAACTCATGAATTGAAACTAGCAAGAAATCTAGGTAGGAATTAAATTTTCAGCCTCTTCCAATAACTTGTAAGAAGAAAGCAAAGTCAGTATAAACATGGTTTATATTAGCAGGGGAAAAGCCAAACCAAAGACATCGCAACAACGCTCTTCAGAACATAATGTCTCAACAAAGCAGACAGTGTTTGCTTTCCAGTCTGCTATATTGCAAACCAGCGCAGTTGGCTTGTGTCGCTCAAGCTGACACTGCCATTCTCCAGGCACATATACTCGGTTGAGATTCTTTGTTACTCCTGCACTGTCCAGTTATGTGCTCAGGTAGTTACAGTTTTTTATAACACACTGAAAACTTTCATTTGTTAAATTCCTCTTTTGTGAAGAGCTTTATTTCCTACCAATTTTTTGCTGTGTGTGTGTGTGTGTGTGTGTGTGAGAGAGAGAGAGAGAGAGAGAGAGAGAGAGAAAGAGAGAGAGAGGAAGACTGTGGAAAGCAAAGTTGGCCATTTTCCCTCCTCTCCAAGAAATGAGGTTCCAAGCAGGAAAGAAAGGGATCCTGGTTAGTTATTAGCAGGAAATTATGAGATTAAGATGCTTATTAAACCTGCCAAAGCAAAACCAGGTGACACATTCGGTTTTTTTCTTCCACATCTTTACCTGTAATCGGAAGGCTGCTACAGTGATCTGGTGGTTGACCAGGATAAAGCCTAAGGCATTCCCAAATAAAACTCATCTGCACCTTTTTTCAGTATCATCCTTAAAGTCAAATACCTGCGGCTGAAATGTAATTAAGAAAAATCAAATAGTCAAACAAAAAGAAAACTGAAACAAAATGAGACACTGTAACAACAAAGCCTGGAAGTAGAAAGACACATTTTCGTAACTTTATCTGCAGAGAATCCTGCAATCAAGGCGGGCAAAGGGAAGAGTTCTGTGAGAATGTCAGTCACATACAACAGTTACCTCAGGCTATGGGAAAGTTCAGGGAGAATGTCCCTCTGATAGCGCACTGTGAGTGTTGATTAGGGAGGCCCCAGAGACCCCCAAAACAGCAAACCTGTTTCCCTTGCTGTGGATCGCCCACCAGGACTAAGGTAAGATCTCATTGCCGAGGATAGCAGACGTTTTGGTTGCAGGACGTAGAGAAATCAAACTAGAATGGAAATGGAAGTTTCCTTCTTGTTACATTTCAGAGAGCCAGGAGGTGCTATGCAGGCCGCTTGAAGAGATAACCCTCACTAGTCATACCCAGTGGGGGTCCCTGCACATGAGAAGCGGGACCTTCCTGACAAGACGTGCCCACAAATGCAATAGTGGCATAACTGTAAAGGGGGTAAGTACTGACTTTCTTACTAGACTCAAAGCCTTCTTCCCAGGAGGCAATTCATGCTGGGTACCTCATCAAAAGCCCACTGGTTGTTGACATCACAGGCTCGAGGAGGGAACCTACCTGCCATTGTCATTTTGCTAAGTTGAAATGGTGTCAAACGCCTTTTTAATATTTATGTTTATACCCATAGGTTAAGGTTAATGTTATTTTAAGTCTTGGTGAGAGAAGTGTCTTTTTCAGTAAGTAGAGGTTCATGCAGATTCCTAGCTGGTGAAAGTGCTGAGAAGTGATTGTTAATGGTTGGGCCCTAAATGGAACATTTGCATCACACATACACACACACACACACACATACACATACACACCATGCCTGAGGCTTAGGAAACATCACAGAAGGAACACAAATAATGTAAGAGCTGGAGGATGCTGGGAAACACTGTGGTCTGGACATTGCATGGCCATTGCCCTCAGAAACTCCAAGCAGCTAGGTTGCTGTGCAGGATCTGCCCATGATCAAGCCTGTAAACATTCCATCACAGATGGGGGAGGGACTCATCAGGCCCCATCCCTTGCAGAGGAGTGACTGGCTCCTGAGGGAAAGGGAGGCAGTTTTTACTTTCCCTTCAGTGGTAGAGCCAATAATAGTTGCTCACCTTCCAATAAGTTCCCTCCCTTACTCATTGCAAAAAGCCCTAGTTAAATTCAGGGGATCAAGAGGGGAAAGAATGAAAGTATAAAAGGGACTTTTTGAGAAAAAGTGGTTCAGAGGGAATGAGGGGGGGATAAAAGAGGTACCCAGGGAGGAAAATGATCAGAGCACACGTGTGGAATTCTCACAGAATCAGTTTTTATAAAAGATCGGCACTAATGTTTCCTTATAGAAGAAAGGAGTCGGGAAGGTCATTAGAATCCACCCACGATCCCAGTCATTCCTTTCTATGGTACTTCTGCCCAGCCTGGGCGTACACATGCCCTCCTGTTCTCAGTAGGTGTCAGAATATATAAAGTGTGGAAAGTTAAATGGAGGAGAGAGGGGGGAGAAAGTGTCGTCTATGCTGGGGTGAGACTTTTTGGTGGTGCAGCTGTTTGCGGAGCAGTTATTCACACGCCTGTAAGCAATCCCTCAGACACGTTATATAAGTAAGGCCAATAAACTTAGTGGTTAGCCAAGCTGGAGTTTTTGGTCTATTCCTTAGTGCCTGTCTGGAGTGAGTATTAATTCAGGCGTCCTCAGGGCTCAGGAAACACCAGCTATTTCATGGCTGTTGCTAGAAAGAGTCAGCATGCTGGTTTCTACCATCCTGAGGAGGATCTTAAAAAATATTCTGTAGGTGGAAAAATGTATCTACGACAATCACAAAATTTGCATGAGATTTTATTATACCTTAGAACAGTAATCTTCAGATAGGTTTAATAAAATTCCAGTTTGGGGGCTTCTCTTAATTCAAGCTGAACCAAGGTTTGGATGGGAACCCCAAAATGTCAGAGAAATTCCTTCCTGCAGAAGCATTGGATGTGGAACCTGCTGGGTGGGCATTTGAGTTATGTGAGCAGAGCTCCCTAGAGTAGATCAATGCCTTTTGTACATTGGGTGAATCCTTTCACAGAACTGCATGACTTACTTTGAAAGCAGGTTGTTAGAAAGCAAGTCCATTCTTTTACGGGCACCTTGGCCCTTTCACCCTCTGCCACTCGGCCTCCTGATCTTGGACTTCCCAGCCTCCAGTACTATGAACCCAAACGTACTGGCTAGTTTTATGTCAACTTAACACAAGCTGGAGTCATCAGAGAGGAGGGAGCTTCGGTTGAGAAATGCCTTCATAAGATCTGTCTCTAAGGTGTTTTCTCAATTAGTGATCAGTGGGGGAGGGCCCAGCCCACTATGGGTAGTGCCATCCCTGGGCTGGTGGTCCTGGGTTCTGTAAGAAAGCAGGCTGAGCAAGGTCATGGGAAGCAAGCCCATAAGCTGCTCCTCACCATGGCCTCTCCATTAGCGCCTGCCTCTGGGCTCCTGCCCTGCTTTAGTTTCCATCCGACTCCTTGCTGATGAACTGTTATATGGAACTGTAAATGAAATAAACCTTTCCTCACCTACTTGTCTTTGGTCATGGTATTTAATCGTGGCAATAGTAACCCTGGCTAAGACATCAAATAGATCTTTCTACAAATTACTCAGACTGTGTGCTCGGTTATTCAATGGGAAATGGACTAAGGCAGGCTGTCACAACAAAATATAACAAGTTGGATGTTTTAAAATTGTGAATTTACTTTCTCACATTTTTTTTGAGCCAGGAACTCCAACATCAAACTGTCAGGGAGGCGAAGTTGTAAAGAGAGCTTTTTGTCTAGACTTCGGGATTCATGCTTTCTTGTGTCCTCAAATGCCCTCACCTCTGTGTGTGGACAGGGACAGACAGTGATCTCTCTTGAAGTCTCTATACCCTGACTTTGACTAAACTTGGTTACCTCCCAAAGGCTCCAACTTCAAATATCATCATGGTGTTAGGATTTAAAGTGTAAGCACATAAACTTTGGAAAGACAAAATTCTGTCCCGAGCACTCCTCAAAATAATACATTTCATGTAGGAAGTAGTTCATCTTTAAATAAGAGACAAGTCAGAGGGCAGACACATTGTAAATAGGAGCACTAACTTTGGACAACCATGTAAACGGCTTATGGAGAAAACGAGTACATACTTAAGAGAAAGAACTTCAGTAAAGAAAATCTATAACCACCACAAATGTCTTTAAAAAAAAAAAGTCTTGCCAAAAAGAGTGGCTAAGTCTCCTGCTAGGCAATCTATTTTTTTTTTCCATTAAGAGTCCTAAATTTTGGCAGCTTCTAAACAAGATTGCCTATTCAGAGAATGGTGCTTTGTAGAAAATGGAAGAGTTAGCTAAAGCTGTCTTTTTTATTTTCTTAATGGTTTGCAGGATAGCTTGAATTCTGGGTAACACACAAATCCTGGCTTCTCTAGATGGTCTCTTAATAATTTATCTCTGCTCTGTTCCTCCCTGCTTGACTTCTATGATTCTGGAATCGTATTCCCTACATTCATCTCAGGAGCCCACGACAGCTCACAAGCCAAATCTGAACAAGACAAGGTGGCTGTTCAGTCCCCATGAGGAAGAATCAGGCAGTGCTGCACCTGCTGTCTCTGAGCTGAACTCTGCGGACTTTGAGCTCTGCCACTCACCCGTCTGCCTGACACCCGCTGTGTGGGGAACACTGGACTTCTTCAGTTTCCCTTCCTAAAGGAAATTGTAGCCTTTCCTAAACTCCCAACCAGCCCACAAGCAGGTATGAGTTTGCAGGGAAATTTTCTTCCCTAGCTCCAGTTTCGACCTGAACATACATCACTGGATAAGGCTGCTTCACACTTCGAAACGAATCATCACACGCCGTTGTTAAACCAATTCTGCTTGGTAGGATTACAGTGGTGCCAAAGGCAGGGTGAACTTCGTGTGCCCTTTGAACAGTAAACAAGGAAGTCAGCCTCTTTGTCTAATTCTGTTTCTTTAATCTCTGTCGTACTTGGATATTCCCGGCGTTCACATCATCCCTATGCACCAACTTACACTGCTAAACTCCCAGCATTTCTTTATTCTCTTTATTACTTATTTCATTATCCTCTCATCTACTTCTCTTGGGGCGTTGTTTTCTTATTTGACTGAACAAATACAAGTCCAACAAAAGCTAGAATTGGTGCAAGAAGATACTTAGAACTCTTACTTCCGTTGGCTTTCTTTCTGCAACTCTGGACTTTTACCTGTTTTGAGATTCGTTCTATATTCCTTCTTGGCACAAACTACTTGGGTAGTTTTGACCTTAGTTGATCTGCAAAGTGGGCCAGTAATACCTGCAGCATCCTGGCACCAGAAAGATTAAATGTAGTGAGAAATCTGTAATATACTTACCATATTGCCCAGCATACGGTAAACACTAAATAGACAGCTGTTATTAGATGCCACAAAGCCTCCCCACCCCCAGGAATCTCTATTTTCCAACCCAACATGAACAGTAATTGGAGGTTGGAAATAGCAAGTTTTAAGGTATTACTTACTGTAAAATTCTAAGACTTAGAACTGGATATGTGGTCTTAAACTCTAGGAGGCCATGGTAAAACATCATTTGAACTTGCTCCAGGCCCTATTAGTCTTGATTTTCATGCATGTATGTGAACATTTATGGGATATTGTCTGACCCCCACCACCTGTATATCATTTCCTAAATGATATACATTTATTTACATTTCTGATTTCCTCTGGATGATTGTTTCCCCCCATTTCTCTTTGCTCAGCAGCGAGGGCCCTGCCTCCCATAGGCACGCCATAAGGTTGGGGAGGGACAAAGGGAGAGGAGCGAGCGTTGGCTTCCCTTTGCCTGCTCTGACACCGCCCTGTGAACTTTTGAATTCAGCCTTGCTTCTCTGTAATTGCCACCCGTCCCTCTGGACTCTGGCTTGTGTTCTGATAATTGACAAAACTGCTCACACCCTGCCAAGGCTTTGTGCTCCAATGCAGCTGCATCCTGTCACCAGGCAATCTACCTCAGCGTCTTCCTGAAACCCTACCAGTTACAGGCCTAACCCTTTGGACTGAGACTTAAGGTTTGTATTCTGCCAGCTTGAGTCACCTGATCTAGCAGACATTTCTACCCACTGCCAACACTTGCTGCTTTCTAGAACTGCTACTTTTATATGTATTAGGGTATGGTTATCAATGTATATTTACAATAATGGAAGTTAGTTCAGTCCAATATCTTATTTTCCTATGTTGCCTATGGCCTTCTGTTCTAGATTATGGTCTAGCTGATCAAGAAATATTAACTGGGACCAAAGAGATGACTCAGCAGTTAAGGGCATATGCTGCTCTTGCACAAGACCTGAGTTTGGAGCCCAGCACCCACACCAGGAATTTCACAGACACCAATGACTCTAGCTTCAGGGGACCCAACACCCTCTTCTGAACTCCTCAAGCACCTGCATTCATACCACACACAGACAAACACACAGAGAGACACACACGTTAACATTATAGGAAATGAAATGTAAAATAAATCTTTAAAAAAGAAAACCAAAAGAAAAATCAACTTGTTTCTTGACTAAGTTCTGTGTCTTTTTCTATTTCTTTTCTTTTTGTTTCTTAATTTTTTGTTTGTTTGTTTGTTTTGTTTTTTGTTTTTCAAGACAGGGTTTCTCTGTGTAGTCCTGGCTGTCCTGGAACTAGCTCTGTAGATCAATCTGACCTCAAACGCCTCTGCTTCCCTCCTGAGTGCTGGGATTAAAGGTGTATGCCACCCCACCTGGTTGTTATCTGTTTTTGTAATGACTGGGGTTCTGACTAGAATTAAATGCAATCTCAGTTTTGTATTACTTTTATTTCTCTACTGGCTAGTGAGATTGACCTTTTTTCATGCTTATTGACGTTTGGACTTTATCTGTTGAGAAATGTCTGTTCATTTTATTAGCCCATTTATTGATTAGGTTGCCTGATTTCTTGATGTTTTGGGTTTTCTCCATTCATTATATATACTAGATATTAATGTTCTATCAGAGTTAGAGCAGCAAAGAGTTTTCTCCAATTCTATAGATTGTCTCTATTCTAGTTGTTTCTTTTATACGTCAAAACTTTTTAATTTCATGGAACCACATTTGTCAGGGTTTCTGTTGAGAAGTGTGCTGAGGTTGTGAAGGGTCCATCTCTCTGTGACTTACTGCTTCTCTCTTGTAGCTATCAATTTGTTTTTTCCTCTATATTTCGTTTTAAATGCTTTTAGTGTTACAATACAATATAGGGAGGTTTCTTTCTAGTCTTGTCTGCTTGGTGTTCTAAATGCTTCATGAGTCTGGACTGTAGTCTTGCTAGATTTGGAGATTCTTCTGTTATGATTTTATTGAGTGTTGTTTATATGTTTAGCCTTAAATTTATCTCCCCCTTCTATCCGCATAATTTATAGATTTGGTCTTTTAATGCTATTTCATAGATCACATATGCTCATACTTTCTTTTCATTTTAATCTTTGTCAGAACTGAACAGTCTAATTCATCTATGTTGTCTCCCACTCATGACTTTCTGATTTCCACTTGATCCATTCTATTGGTGAATCTTCTACTGAGTTTTTTCTTTGATTAACTAAACTTTTCATTTCTAAACTTCAATTTGATATTTTTTCAGTAAAACTTTCTTTTTGTTGAATTCCTGTTTCAAGGAATTTGTATTGACTTCCTTTTTCATTCAGTTGTTTATTTGCATTCTCTTAAAAATCATCTTTAAGATTGTTTATATCCCCTGATTTCACCAAGTATTTTTAGGAATATTCTCTTGAAATCTCTTTCTGGAATTTTATCTTATTCACTTATTACTTTAATAAGTTCATAACTGTGGAATTCATATCAGGGGTAGAATAATACCTCCTTCAGTTTGCATGTTCACAGTGTTTAGACTTCGTTTAAATCATGGAAAATGCTAGTAGAGACTACGCAATAGAACAGTTGGAGAATCACGCATAACTTTCTGAAACTTGCAGAGTCATGTGCAAACTAAAGCAAGACCATCGCAGATGACTCTGGCTTATGTCAAGCTGACAAAAGCTAACGAGCACAGAGAAATTCACTTTCAAACTATTGCATCAGTCAGTATTTCTTCCTTGGTGAGGCAGGATTTTAAATCTTTCCCTCCCCAGGATATTTCATGTAGCAAATCGCACTGGTGGTAGGCAGAAGTCTCAATTCTAGTTTGAATATATAAAGCCAGATTTGGTGCATAGATTTGTCTAAGTTACCTTTTACATACAAATTAAGATAGACGAACAAAATTTGACTTGTTAATGTAAATACCGTCATGATCTTCCAAGTGTTTTTGTAGCTTAGTTCACTGAAAAGACTCAGAGACAAGTCACATATTTCCAACCCCAAATATAGCATAGCACTATATTACTTTTCTACAGCTGTAAATTACCTCAAACCTAGTAGTCACTTCAAAGAATGCAAATTTAGTATTTCATAGGTTTGGAGGTTAAAAATACCCAAATGGTTCTCATTCATCTAAAATTCTGACATTTGCGGAGTTATGTTCCTTCTTGGGGGCTGTAAGTAGGAATTTATTTGCTTGTAGTTTCCAGCTTCTAGAGGCTTCCAGCATCCCTTGCGTCTGTGTTGAAAGTCAATACCACACCACTCCAAATTCTGCACCCATCATCACAGCCCCTCCCCCTTCTGGCTCCCTTTATTTATGGGAATGATTGTCATTATGCTGAGCCCACTAGAATGATCCTTTGTTCTCAAAATCTTGGATTCATCTTTCTGTAAATAAGACTTATTTTTCTTTTTAGTTATGTGTATGCATGTGTGTCTGTGTGGAGAGAGGTGCACATGAAAGCAGTTGCTTGTAGAACAAAAGAGGGTATCAGATCCCCTGCTGCTGGAGTTACAGGCAGTTGAAAGCTGCTTGGTATGAGTTCTGGGAACTGACCTTGGGTCCTCTGCTAGAGAAGCACATGCTCTTAACCACAGAGCCTTCTCTTCAGACCCTTTGGTTTCATCTTAGTACAAAGTCTCAATTACTACGTAAGACATATATTCACATTCTCTAGGGACTAAGGTGTGGACATTGGGGTGTGGCATTATTCTACCTATCACAGGCACAGAGTCAAGTGAAAGAGCTTAAGGTTTTTAAAAAGGGACAGAGTCTAACATTAATTAGTGACAGAGTTCTACTGTCACATCTGGTTCTTAGCATAATTTATTGATGGTTACCTAGAGGATCTCTGCAATCATAAAAGGGACGCGATACCCTAAAAACTTCTGAAGAATGCCCATTATTTTCCCAATAATATCCATCCTAGTTCATAGGTATCATTTTCTCTTCTCAGAGAAGAGAAGACTCACAGTTGGAGCTGAAGAAACAGCTCAGTGGTAAAGAGTGTTCTTAAAAAGGTCTGAAGTTTAGTTCCCATAGTCCGTGTTGGGTAGCCCACAGCCACCTATAATTCTAGCTCTAGAGATCCTGATGTCCTCTGCTGTCCTCCATAGGCACCTACACTCATTTGCACAGACACACACACAGAAAAGCACATGTGCACATAATCGAAAATAGAACAAATCTGTGACAGAGCTAGGATTTACATACAAATGTGGCTGACTCTAATGCTGACACATTTACACGATTTCTCTTGATGTGTTAGGAGAGATAAGTAAGAGGACTCTGGGATGCAGCAGCAGTCTACAATTAACTTTTACAGTCTGGACTTTCTTAAGTAAGGGAGGGTAGCGAAAGAAGGAAGGAGAACAAGGTGTATCCTAATGAATGATGGACACAGACGAGGCCCTTGGCAGCAGCTCTGTCATTTTGGCCCTGGTGTCAGCACAAGTCAACCATATTATTAAGGTCCCTGCAGTAGCATACCGCGCCAGCACGGTCTGGAACCACGAGTCTCGGCGGAGGGTGTC